AAAAAAATTAATTTTGGGCTGGAAATCAATGGGAATGAAACAGTCTCATATAAGAGAAGGTGAGGAGGCAGAATGCTAATACCGAGAAAAGAAATGAGGTCAGTTGTGCAAGAGGTTTCCATCTCAGATGCATTTTAATACATTGATACATTGATAGTATTTTAATACATTGTGGATGTGATCCAAGAAAGTGGTTCATATTTCTTGGATACTTCATCACCATAGATAATCTGTTGATTCTTGTCAGGAATATAACCTTTGGCTCTGGCTCACTCATGGAAGCACAGTTGAGCCTTTGTTTGTTGGAATCGTGAAGGAAGATCAGTTCATGTTACAGATCCCCAAGGAAGGAGATGAGGAGAATAAAGGCAAATATCTATCTCACTCCTCTGAGAGCCCAGTCCCGAGAAACAAAGGTATCAAAGGTCAGTAGGTTGGGGACACAGGTCAACAAACGGGTCAGTTGCTGGTATAAGAGACATTACATGCCTGCAGAGTCTGGTAGTGAATGCATGGACATACTGCCTGGATGTAAATGACCAAGCAAAGAAAAGGAGAGGTGGGTGAAATGCAGCCCGTCAGCTGCAGTTAAAATAGGTTTTGGCTCCTTTGTTCCAGGCAGCCACTGCCAGGAGTGTGGCTCAACTGTTGCCAGATCCTCTAGTTTTTTAGAGGTGAGAAAGCCTCCTTTTTGCACAAAATTTCTGATATTCAAAACACTCTCTTAGCAGGTGATTTGGATCATTGTGCAGCAGCTGATGGAGATGCCCTCTTCTGGGTTGAGCACCTACCAAGGAAGAGCTAATCCTCTCTCTAAGCTTGGGCCGTTTGAAATATAAGACCATTGTTTTTTGTTCCCTTTTTATATTGAAAATTTCCAGAGGAAATGAGAGTGGAGGGTACAGCGAACTTCCCTCTTATTCAGCTTCAACAGCCATCAGTACACTGCTAAGAGTCCTGAAATCTGAAGCTAAGAGCACAAAGAGAGATGACCCTGCTAATGCCATTCACATACTTGAGTACCTCACCTGTTGCCTGGGCTGTGTGGGAAGTGCTCCATTATTGAGAACCCTCGCCAAGTAGACCATGTCCTTATTTTGTATTAGAGAAGTGGAGCACTGTCCCACAGTAGATGCAATGGCAGCTGGCTGGTGGCTCAACTGGCATCTAGGTGGTCAGTCTCAACCTCTTTTCTCTAAGCTTCCTATGGCTTCTCCACACACAGCACTTCCTGCAAAGCATCGTGATGCTCTGCCCATTTCAGTTGAGGGCCACTAGACACACACCCTATTACCTGCATTAAGTTAAATACTACAAAATAATGTCCATTTGTTAGTTGAGCAGTCACCTGTTTTACTGCATCTTCGTAGGATGGTGGCTGTGTTATCTCTGCCACTGCTGAAGTTGACTTAGAGAAAGTGGGAGATGGAATCGAAAACTTTGGTCCTGCCTGATCAGAAGAGTGTAAACCGGCCACCTGCGAGTATAGTGCAGAGGAACACAATCAGTTAATGGGTCGATCAGAGGTGGAACTTCATCTCATTTCAAAACTACAGGTTAAATTCTGGAAACATCAAATTAAGAAAAATAAAAGTGCTGTTTTCTATACAAACAGCCCCGATATATAAACAGTAGCATGTATCACTGCAAACTTATTGCTGGAGGCTCTGGGCTGGGACTTTACATCCTCATTATCCCTCTAGGAGATACCTTCTGTTAAGGGAATGAGCAATGAGAAAAGGAAAGAACCCCAAAGTGTTCAATCCAATACAAAGTCAAATCTCTCAGCCCAGGAATTTTGAGGGTAATTTATCTCTCAGGCCATTTTGATTATTTGCAGTTAGAGACCCCCCTGGACTATCTTTCCATGAGCCAGTCATATGTGTTCTGGGAAGCACTGGGTGCTTTCAGGGTGTCTGACCCTGGGGATACCCTGCCCTGCACACAGTATTTTTGCATCATGGCCATTTGATGTCTGCCTCCTGCCCTTCCCTGATGCATGGTCCCTTGGAAGTACCCACATTTTGGATTCTTCCTCCTGTGGATTTGTATCAGCTCTTCCTGTTTCTATGGAGATAGTGCACTGTAACACAAACTTTCTGTTCCTCTCCATCCTTTCCATGGGTCCACAGACCTCCCTCTTTCTACAGCACTGTTTCCCCATGTACCTCTATTCCAGTCATAAATGGCACTGAAACTGGCCTGTTTGACATGTTTTGTTTTTTTAAGATTTATTTACTTGTGCATACAGAACTGGAGTACAGGCCAGAGGTGCGGGGGCAATGAGAGGATTCACCAGAGACAGAGTGGGGGTAGAACAGGCAGACTGATGAAGTACACTGCTGAGGGGGGCAGTGGGCGGGTCAGGAGAGGTCTGCCACGCCATGAGGATTACCTCTGGGATAGGGATTGAACTCATGCTGAAGTGGCTTTAACTTCTTAGTGTTGTGTTTTAACCTGCTGCGCCACCAGGGAGGGTCCTATTTGCCATGTTTAATGAGCCTGCTATGGCCACTTAGTTATTATGATTTCTAGATGACCTCAGGAGATAATTCCTTGGTATACTGCCTGACATATAACAGTACATCAACTTTAGTCCTTTTCAGGAGGACATATTTCTATCTACTGTCACTTATCTCTGTCATTGAACTTCATCATCCACCATGGAAGACAGGGGCCACAGCAAACCTTTTTTGCAGGTGCCTACCTTTTGCTGTACACCTGGGCTTTGGGGACAAGGGGTTCCCCCAGCACCATGACTGCTGTCTGCCTGGGCTCCAGAGAAAGGGGGATGGAGGCTGGAGGGCTGGGGAGAGAAGCTTGGAGGGTGGCCCTCATGTGCCCCTGAATTCTGTAGAAAGGAAGAAGGAACAATTAAGCAGCAGCATGAATGAAAGCAGCCATTGCCTCTCAAGATTATTGGTGTCATATCTTTTCCAACTACCCTAATTTCATTACTGAACTCTCAAGAAATGCTGCTTTGTACAAAATGGGCTCTGGTCACCTACCACTCAAAAACTCCCAAATAGTCCCAGTGTATGCTCCTCACCTGTAACCAGGGTAAGATGCTCCACAATCTGGTACCATTTTCTCCTGCAAGCTGCCATTCTACTATTTCTTCCATGAACTTCCTTCAGCATGTCCTATACATACTCTCTCCTTATCTGTTTTCACAAGGAATAGCCTTTTTTTTTGACTCTCGATCTTTAAAATCTCTGAATTCTCATTACATTTGACCTTTTACAGACTTCCCTTCTTTTCTAGTCTTTCTTAATCAATCTGCCCCCATAAATATTTTGTGTAATGTTAAAAGCACAATAAATCATATTATCTTATATTGTTCTTTATATTTTATCTTATTATTGTGTAATCACTCATGTCTTCAGAGTGCTTGGAAAACCACAAATCAATGTGCAAATGTTAGATCTTAGCAGCACTGAAATCACTGGAATTGAATACCAATGATCCAGATCTTTGCCTTGAGGGCTATTTACCAACGAAACCTAGGATCCGGTGCACCAAATCATGATGACAATAATCCACGCAGGTCCCAGCCCGTCCCAGGATGCACACTCAGCCACGGGCCCCACTTCTTTTATTATGCTGTTCTGAGAGGTTTGTTAAAATACATTCTCATTACTTATGGCAACATTTCATATTTCCATGGTAGAGAGTATTCCAAGTAAAAAAGGGTGCACTTTTGAATCAGATAGTGTAGTTTTGTGTAGCTGAGCAACTATTTTAACCTCCCTGAAACTTGTTGTCTTCAGTGGCAAGTAAAAACAATAAATTGGAGCTGATAAAGTTGTGCCAATGAGATGGTTCACATTTGTGGTGCTTACACTTGGCATGCAGCAAGTATCCAATTAATGTGGACTGTCTTCCTTTCTAATAATACAGATTTCAGAATCTTTTGATAATATAATTTTCATTCTTTTATTTTAGGTAGACATTTCTAATACTTCTTTGACTTCATAAATAAAAGGAGAGTCTCGAATGATCACCTTGCTTCAGTCAATGAATTAAATTTGTAAGTCACCTCTTACAGCCATCTTCTTACTCTGTTCCAGCTCCACTGACTCTTTCTGATTCTGCACTATGCCTGTGCCTACCCCAAGGCTCTTCTATTTGATGTTCTTCCTCTGTCTATAACACCTTCACCCCAAATATTCTCTAGGCTTCTCCTTTACCTCATTCAAAACTTTGCTCAAATGTCCCTGGCCCTCCAATGTAAAGGTGCAAACTTCACCCTCTACCTCGCCCTCTGTTCTTTCTTCCTAAGATGTATCAGCTCCTGATGCATTGAACACTTACTTTGTTTTCTGTCTGTCTCCCCAATAGAATAAGCATTTTTGTCTGGCACTAACCTTCAGAGGCCAGAACAGAACCCACTATGTAGTAGGTGCCCAGTAAATATTTGCACTGTGTAGACTATTACAGGGAGCGATGATAGAGTTTCATAACTTCCTCTTTGGTTCTCTTTGGTTCCAGAGGTTGGTTTGACCTCTGGAAAGGCTTGACACCAAAGAGTCCAGAGAAAAGAGATTAGCAACCTACTCTTCATGAGCCAAATCTAGCTGTTTATGTCAAACTTCATTGGCACACAGCCATGTGTTTTCATTTACAAGTTGTCCCTGAGGAGTGACTCGTAAAGGTAGAGCTGAGTAGTTATAGAGACAGCATGACCAGAAAAGCCAAAGATATTTATTATCCATAACTAGTCCTTTATAGAACAAGTTTGTCAAGCCCTGTCTCAGAGAAGTAAGTTTGATTTGCTGAGTAACTTTGAGGATCATGATGTCCAGGAGCTGCTGTTGGACTTTTTTTGGGTTAAACACTTACCATCAACATTCTCAAGAACAGTTTTTTAGAAGTTGCCAGTCTACCTCTCACTTCCAGAAACAGAGACAGGGTGTAGGGCAGGGAGTTCTTACCTGTGCAGTACACACCTGGCTGCTGACAGGTGAGGAGACCCTGTGCCCTTCCCCTTGAGCGCCTGAAGATGAAGGTAGGTAATAATGGTTGTTTGGCGAAGGGGGCAAACTGATATGCTGGGGGCTTTTCACTGCCCCAAGTGGTGAATGCTGAGGGGAACACTGCGGGCTGAGAAAGGTGGAAGAAAGTACGGTGGTTTGCCCTGAGGAGTCCACACAGTGAGTGTTCCCAAGGGACAGGAGTGGAGCAGCTTCACAAGCAGGAGGCTGGCCCTCTGAGCTGTGGCTTTGTCTTTTCACAGGTATTTGTTGGGATGCAAAAGGACAGCTGGAGACGGCATCCTCCTGCTTGATGGGGGCGGCCAGGAAAGGCAGTGGCTTCTTGTCAGCACAACTGTTCCTTTTCTGCTTCTGCAGCTGCATCCTCAACTCCTCCACTTGCCTCTGTTCTTGCTGCAGTTTCCAGGTCAGCTCGTTTATCACTTTCTGCTTCTCCACCAGCATCTTGTCCTTCTCGGAGTCCAGTGCATCCAGCTCCGAAGGAATGGAGCCCCCGTTCAGGCTGTTCATGAGGCTCTCCTCGGCGCAGACGTGAATGGGGGACGGGTGCAGGCCGAAGGAGGGGGACCCGTCGGGGAAAGTGTCCGGCAGGGACCCTGCCACTGACAAGTCAGATGAGGCGGGGGAGATGGGGGGACTGGAGCTGGTGCTTCCAAAGTGGTAGAATCCGTTGGATAAGGCACTGGTGGAGGGCGAGGACTGGTAATTGGGCAGCGCGCTGGTGGGTGTAACAGGAAAAGTGACAGTGGTGATTTCACCGAAGTTTGGCATGGGGTTTCCAGAACAGTCCTGGAAGGGTCGCAGGCGGTCCATGAGCGCTGTCTTGGTGCCTGACACGGGCAAGCCCCGTATTCGAAGCTGTTGTCTTAATTCTGAGACCTAAGAAACCAGGATGTTGTTAGTATGCTGTGTAGTGATGGTCTTAGAAAATACATTTGTTTTGTAATTTAAATGTAGCCTTAACACACCACAAGTGGAATTGCACAATGTCACTGTTCTTTTTGTAACCTCTCTTCAACTTCCTTCCCATGATAGTTTTCATAAAATATTAATGGGTCCTCTACCACGTTTTCATATCCAGAATCATAGAAATGTAGCACTCAAGTGAAGTACAGAGAGTACTTACTTACTTGACTGCCCTCTAACTACCATTTCAGCTTTTGCTCCATCTATACATGAGAAAACTGATATCTGCCTGGATTTAGACTTCAGCCTTCAACTAACCATCTCCAAGTATAATGACTCCCACATTTTCTGCTTCCTGAGGGAGAGCTCTCCCCACCTGGCTCTTTGTTGTGGTTCTAATCCTAAGCAGTCACGAGAACCTCTGGAATTGGGGTACAGCACAGATAGCTGGGTCCCAGCCCTTCCTGCTAATTCAGAGGGTCTGACATTGGAACCGAGACTATCTATTCCTTTCCAGCAAGTACCCATGGATGTGATGCCCCTGTTCCCTGGAGCAGTTTTTGAGAACCATGATTCTCACCAATATTTACGTCCTAAATCGAACAACTGGCTGGACGGTAATCACCTATTGAGAGATGACATATGCAGAGATAAGATCATCAATTCAAATTCTGGTCTCTCACTAGCCCAGTGATCACTCTGCTTAGTTTTTCCTTCTGTAAAATACAGATGTCAATACCTACCATGTACATTTTTTGGTGAGGATTAAAATGGCTTAAAATTTGTCAAGTACTGGAATGGTGCCTGGCAAATGGTTAATGCAATGTAAGAGCTTGTTATTATTATGTTGATTCACATGTAATTATCTCATGCCTGCAGTTTTTATACTGTTCATAAATTATAAACTACCAATGTCTAAAAATACAGAAATGAAATAAATTATAGTGCATGCAAGTGATGAAAACTGTAGATCCATTAAAAGAGATGCTATAAATATTTGCTGATATAGAATAATGGATAATTATTTAGGGTATATTATTAAGTGAAAAAGTTTAAATTGCTTGATTCTATTTTCTAAAAAATTATATAAATACATGTGTGTATACATTAAAAAATTTGTTTACAGATAAAAATATCTGGATAAAGATATGCTGCAATGTTAATAATGGTTCTTATTTGAATTTCTTAAATATTCCTCATAAGCATATTACTTTTCTAATTAGTACAAGTTTATTTAAGTCACCAGTATCAATAAACCCATAACATAACAAGAGTTCATAGGGAAATAGTCCTCTGATAGGAAAAGGTCTCTTGAATAGGGAAGCAAATAAAGTATTCACAAAAATATTGACAACAAAGTTTGAAAACACACGTTAAAAATAAAATACAAATGCAAATCATAGCTTCAGGAAAAAGTAACTGCAGGATAATAAAATGTTTGGGAGTTTAATGTGTTAAATATGTTTAAGAACCCAAACTAAAAAAGATTGCCACTCTTTATAAAAAAGTGGGTAGTGCACAGTTACAGACAAAAGAAACATTATTTTAAAAGGGCAATAATATTTAAATGCTATGTTTCACTTTAATATTTTAGTCATCCAAGAAATACAAATAAAATATGTACATATTTTCTATGTATCTAATTGACAAAGAAATGAATAACACTGTATTATTGAAGGAGCAGCAAAAATAAGTAAAAATGTTAAAAAGAAAGGTCTTTATTTAAAAATTCTTTTGATAGGAAATAAGTTTAAAATATATTAGACACATGTAAATAGTGACTCATTTCCCTCCTAATTTTGTACTTGTCTTTGTCTAAGGACATTGTAAGCATCCACTTGTGTGTACATAAAATGTTTCTGCATGTTGCTTAGCAAAGCCCAGCCAGACCCTGTTACACAAAGGAAGTTTATTTTATTTTATTTTATTAAGCTACCGTTTACTTTTGTTGCAGTAACATTGCATTAAGAAAGCTCTTTACTGTCTTGCTATCCCCAGTCTGATTCTTAGACCAGCAACACCAATAATATCTGGGTACTGGCTAGAAATGAAGAATCCTACAATTCCTTCCCCAAATCCAATGAATAAGAAACTGCATTTTACCAAGAGCCCCAGGTGACTCAGTGTTTCTCTGAGTGTTTGAGAACTGCAACTTTCACACACTGCTTCTAGGAATAAACTGGCACAAATTTTCGGAATGGAGAAATGTTAATATGTATCAAGAACTTAAAAAATAGTAAGATGCTTTTTGGGGGGAATTTTCCTCCCATGTATTTCAGCCTGGAGAGGTAATCCAAGAAATTGATAAATGTATGTACAAATTATACTGCTAAACACAAAAATATGGAACCAAGCTAGATGTTTAGTGGTCAGGTGTTAAATAGTTGGTGAAATATGATATGGTGCTATTAAAATTTTTATTGACAATTAAGTTATGAAAGAATGTTTATGATATGTTAAATAATAAGGCACACCAGAAATTTTTGCACTCATAATTATTTAAAAAAAAACATGTCCTTAGGCATTTTCGGTACTGAAGGAAACATGACTTGCAATTCTATCTTGAGTCTTAATGGTCTTTAAAAATATTCTTTACTTTTCTATAAGTTATCATATTTCAGTGGTGAATATGTATAACTTTATACTTAGCTAAAAGCTATTTTAAGTGGAATGGATCTACTTACATACCATAAGCACTAAATATGTTTTCTCCCCCATAACCCATAGTCTTTCTAGCTCTTTTTTATAATTTTCTTTTAGATGCACTGGTTTGAAAAAGTGCAAAATGGCAACTCATTATTGTTTTAATTTTGAATTACTTAAAATTAATGAGTTCTACACTTATTTTTAGAGTCTGTTCTGACACTGAATAATTTCAAGTACATTATTAAATAATGCAGCTCACATTCTAAAATGAAATGAATACTTGTTGAGTTCAGTTTTTCTTAAATTCCAGGAAACTTTGCTATGTGGGTCCTGTTTGGGACAAAGATTTGTGTTCACATTTTTAAAAAATTATTTTCACTGATTTATTCATCACTGATAATTTTTAAAAAGCATTTATTATTGAAAACTTCAAACATACTTAAAAATAGGTAGAAAAAATATAATGAACCCCATGTAGCCTTCAACCTTTTTTAATCATCTCACACCCCATCTTGTTGCATTTACACCCAACTTAGCTCTTCCTATAGCTACATTTTCTGAATTATTTGGAAGCATTCATAAATTTTCCTCTGTAAATATTTTGGCATCTTCTCTATATAGTCTAGATGATTATTTTCTTGAAAACTGTAGATATATTATTATTGTACCTAAAAATTACAAGCATTAATTTCTTAATAAGCATCAAATACCCTCTAGTTTTTTAATTTTCCACTCTTTTAAAAAGTAAAATTTAAATTTAAAAGGGTAATCTTTTTGTTATGCTAAAAGATATGGAACATAAAACTTGATATTTAACTATTGCAAAGTGGACAGTTTGGTGACATTAAACACATTCACAGTGCTGTGCATGGCACTGCAGACCTCTCCCTTCTCACCCGCTGCTCCCCTCAGCAGTGTGCTTCAGCCAATCCACATTTGTCTGTTCTGCTCCCCACTCTGTCTCTGGTGAATCCTCTCATCTCCCCACACCTCTGGCCTATACCCCAGTTTTTGCATATATAAATAAGTAAAATAAAAATAAATCACCACCCCCATCTCTAAAATATTTCCATCATCTCAAACTCCACTCCTTCAAATACTCACTCTCCATCTCTCTCCCCCAGCCTGTGGCTACCCCCTCCTATATTCTTTCCATAAGTCTGACTAATGCAGAAATCACTTGTGAGTGCAGTCACAGAGTATTTGTCCCAAAGTGTCTGACTTATTTCTCCCAACATCATGTCACCAGGTAAGAGAACCGATTTCTATAGATACAAGGTTTATATGAGAATTGGAGGTGGGTGACCCCAGTTCTAGAGAGAACTAGCAGGAGCTTGGCATCCTCTTCTAGGTTGATTGATGCCAAATTGAAATAGGGTCAATGAAACCTTAGCAATTTTATTGGGGAAGGAGTAGACGAATCTTTGCTATCAGGGCATGAGACACATTTTACTCACTGGTGCTGACACTTTCCCACTGAATTGCATTTGACTGGAATTAATCCCAATCTTACCTTTTTCTAATAGAAAATGATGACAGAGGACTGAGGATTGGGCACTGAAGACTGAAGGGCAAATGAGTGGCCAAGTGAAGGCCATGGAGACATTCAGGAGCTTATGGGGAAAAAGCAAGAAATGTACTGGTGTGCGCGTACATGTGTGTGTGTGTGTGTGTGTGTGTGTGTGTGTGTGTGTATGAGAGAGAGAGAGAGAGAGAGAGAATGATGTCAATGGCCCGTACCTTCAGGTCATCTAGATTTGATGGCAGTGGGCCTGGTTTGAGAGAAGAGATACCAGTTTGTCCAGAAAAACTGTTTTTGACAGGAGACAAAGGGGTATTGCCCAGTGGTGCTGATGAAGAGTTTGGATTTGGATTTCTGGCCATCTGTTCATTTGGTTCCCTGAAAAGCAATAAAAAGGGAAAACTTAAAATGTAGTCACATTCATACAGTGGACACTTGAACAGCACAGATTTGAACAGTGTAGGTTCTGTTATGTGGATTTTCTTGTAAACAGAAAATGTAAACTTAGGGTATAAATACATAGATGGCTATGTATTTTCTCTTCTTTATGATTTTCCTAATAACATTTTCTTTCCTCCAGCTATTTTATTGTGAGATACAGTTATCTAATATACATACAGTCTATATATATATATATATATAAAATTTATAATTTGTGTTAATCACTTTATGTTACCAGGAAGGCTTCTAGCAAACAGCAGGCTGTCAGTGGTTAAGCTTTGGGGAAGTCAACAGTTATACACGGATTTTTGACTGCAGGAGAGGGGTTGGTATCACTAACCCCTGGGTTGTTCAAGGATCAACTGTATATGAAGGCCATTTGCACTTTGATGGCCTCACAAATTCTTTGCCTCCAAGGAGTAAGCATGCACTCAATCAGCAGCAGAGGCAGGGAGAGGAAGAGCTACAGTGCAGGCTCCATGGCAAGAGGAACAACTGAGTTTGGGGGAGACATTAAGGAGTGGTGCAGACAGCAGCTTGTGGGGCTATGCTTGTCCATCTCTGCTTCAGCATGTGTGTTGTGTTTCTCTGGGGAGGCAGGAGTGAGCCACTCCAGGCTAGGTGGTGTTCAGGACGCAGGATAATTATTTGCATGACCTGAGGCTGAACAGAAATGGGTGGGGAAACCCACACCCCAATTTAATAGGTGAGAAAACTGGCCATTTAAAAGGTGACCTAGTGATGGATTCACATACCCGGGCTCAGGAGTCCAATTTGAGCCTGTCACTCTAGTCACTCAGCTTTGTCGTTTCCTAAAGTCAATGTGTGAAACAGAACCCATAGTCCTCAAAAATACCAATATTGCATTCTTAGAGGGTTGCTCCACTTTTCCATAATCCCATCTGAAAATGTGAGTTTCCTTTCTCCTGTGGCCACTTTTCAGGGTATTACTTCACTTGTTTCTTCCTAGCCTTATGCTCCTGAAATACGGTGCCTGGTTTCTAAATAGGGTCATATTCTTAACATGCCAGATGAGGATCTGGGGCAATATGGGGCTTGCCTGGTCCCCAGGTGCTGGCCCACGGAGCCCCATGCAGAGAACCATCCCACCCTGTCTGCAGCTCCCATACCAGACTGACTTACTTGAGCTGAGTTTGGTGAATCCCGGGGTAGTTGAACCGGTGTTGCTGATGTTGTTGTTGTTGCTGTTGCTGTTGTTGTTGTTGCTGTTGCTGCTGCTGCTGCTGCTGCTGGCTGAGGATCTGGAGCTGCAGAAACAGCTGCTGCTGCTGGAGCAGCCGGGCATAGGCTGAGTCCATGGGCGGAGGAGACTTCTCAGCCTTTTGATCCGGGGGAATGTACTGGTGATATTTGAGTTTCTTCACCTTTGGCTTAGGGTCCTTGGGTTTTTTGTGGCGGTTCTTATTGTCACCCAAGGATTTAGACTGCAACAAGGATGAAGAAATGACACGAACTTTAGGAGATGGAGGGGAATGACTTGGCATCACAGGTAAGTAACGAAGTTTTATCTGATGGATATTTTTAAGCCCCAGAAAGGCAATACAGCAGAGGCATGGTACACAAAGAGACCCTGGGATATTAAAGTAGCTAGTGAACAAGTCTACTGTGAGTGCATCAGAGAACACACCACAGGAGCATCCAGGCAGACTGCCTGCCCAGATTTGAAGGGGTGTAGACCTGTGTTTCGTAAGGGCATTTCCCTAACCCAAGCCCACTAGGGAGCAGATACTTTCAGAGCTTGGGATGGACCCATAAGAAAGTTCTTTTATAATCTAGACGTTAAATTAAGCAGTAATTAAGTTGACTTATTAATGACATAAACTTAGATGAAATTAACTGGATCTGAAAATCCAAATGTGGATTTTTGTTGCTTTGGGCTGAAAAGGAAGACACTCACTTTCCTCCTACCAACCCCAAATGCTGATATGCGATCAGAAAGTGACACCCTCTGAAATAATTATCCTTTTCTTACTATGGAAAGGTCTAGCCACCCACTGGAACCTTAGCACAAGTCACAGAGTATGATTTGGACACACTGAAATAAGTGAAGGCTTCAGGCTTCGCCGTTAGGTCAAATTTCTGAATGTGGTATAATTAATAAACTTTACTACATACCAGCCACCTCCCCTGCAAGTTAGGGAGGAGAATTTTCTACTTTCTGTCCCAGTGAAATATGAGGAGGATAAAAGATCATACTGAATAACAGGTCTCCAAGAGTATAATTCTTGGTATGAACTCAGATGCTCTCAAAATAGTAGTAAACAATCATTCCAAAATGTATTAAGTTAAAAAAATATAATTTTTCATCCCTTGACTCTATGACAGAATGTTGAAATGAAGAACATGGATGTTGTACTAGAAGATTCTTAATTTTCTACAAGAATACAAGTGGGAAAAAAAAAAAAAAATCCAGGGACTGTGTAGTGCTAGCAATGTCCGGAAGAGGGAGCTCCCGAACAGCTGGCAGGCACATTCTGACTGGGCGGCATTCCCATTTTAACCACAAAATATACATCTGAAAGTGGCCTAAAATTTGTTCTTCTCTGACTCAGCGCATCCCACCATGTAATTAAATTTTCTCAAGGAGGCTATTTCTTAAAGAATGAGTAATGAACACATGTATTCCCTTGTGTTTGTTGGTCCAGTTCTCCCTGGCAATTAATCGATTAATATTCCATTTAATTAATCAGTCTTCAGCATTGGGAGATCAACTCTGCTCTGCCTTGCTCCAACTCAGCTTCTGTTCCCCCCTTATCCTAAAACTTGATGTCTCTGGAGGAAGACAAGAGCTGCTACATTGAGTCTAGCAGTTGGGTCAGGGGCCAAGGAATTTTCTATGTTGCTTTAGCCCCAGGCACTCAGAGCATTCCAGAAGGCACTGAAGTTTTGTTTCCTATGCGGAATGGCATGGCCAACAGAGGAGCACATTGATCTTTCTAAAGCAGAGAGGTACTCAGAATCCAGTGATTTGAGGCCTCGTCATAGATGTGATGATAGCTTAGTGTCATACAAGAGGGAATGGAGTGGTCTGTGGCTACAGAATGTGACTTCCCAAGGGCAATTCTGGCTTTAAACTGCCACAATCAATTTGCCTGTCTTGCCTTGGAGTTCAAATTCCAGACTGCCAAAGAAGACAGTTCTCTCAAACTTTATAAACCTCCTCCCCTGCCCAGTAATTTATACCTCCTGACTCTTTGCAATTTTATGCTAATTAGCAACTTCTCTTCCATTTGCTATCTAACTCCGGCTCATCCTTCGAGACTGGCCTAAATCGTGGCTCACCTAGGACACTTCTAACTCACAGTGATGCCTCAAGTCTGTGACTTATTTATCTTACAGCTGTCTGATAACGGTCATGCCATTGTAAATTACACTAAGAGTAAGGGAGACTGAAATCCAAACGCCGTTCTACTTCTCTGACTATTGGCCTCAATGAAGGACATACTTGCCTGCGGAAGAGGAACCTGTTTTTGTATTGTGATAAAATACAAGTAACATAACAATTACCAAACCAACCTTTTAAAGTATACAGCTCAGTGGCATTTAGTACGTTCATAATGTGATGTCACAACTATCTAGTTCTGGAACTTTCTCATCACCCCAAAAGGAAATCTTTTTCCCCTTCAGCAGTCACTCCCCATTCTCTCCTTCATCCAGTCCCTGGAAACCATTAATCTGTTTCCTGTCTCTATGGATCTGCATATTCTAGACATTTCAAATAAATGGAATTGGTATCACGTAGCCTTTTGAGTGGGCTTCCTTCACTCAACAAAATATTTCCCAGGTTTAATCACTTTGTAGCATGCATCAGTACTTCATTCCTTTTTATGGCTGGAATAATATTCCATTGGTTATGGCATATGTTTATGCATTCATTATAAATGGACAATTGGGTTAGTTCCAACTTTGCCTATAGTGCTATTATGAATGTTACTATAAAAGTTTTTATTTGAACACCTATTTTTAATTTTTCCTTTTAATTTAGGGGTGACTGATATTTAACTGGGAATTTTTAGGCATTGCCTAGTCAGAAGGGATATTGTTTCTTACATGAAGCAGCCCAGCTTTGTATCAAACCTGCCCTTCAATGAAATGGCCCTGACCTTCCTCTAGACTCCTGTCATGTACAATGAGGCTAAAGGTTTTGTTCATTTGTAGTAATCAAAACTTGAATATGTTGGAAGAAGTAGTAATATACCTTCTCTTTGTACACAGCATTGGAAATCAGGTGAATTATCACCTCCTCCTTCCTTCTACAATGATTAAAATTCGCCCGTAGTCACATCATTTCAGAGTGTTGAGTACACCGCAAGCGAGGCTTAAACTATGGCAGTTTACTGAGGGGGTTAATTTTACAGGGGGTTAATTTTCCCATCCACTTAGAACAAGAAAACCACATTTGTATCTATGTTGTGGAAGCATGCCGTGACTTTCACACGGACTCTTAATTTACAACAGAAAAAAAACATTTCAGAAGATAGATATCTCAGTGCTGATTGAATAGTGACCCTGGAGCTCAGAAATCATGCCCCAGATCAATTAGAAGTGATTTGAGAGGAAATATTACAAAGAAGGTCAGGCACCTACCAGAAGTTCATTGAGGAGAGAGTATTCTGTGAATTGTCAGTCATAACTCTGAGAAAGTGAAACAAAATGCGTGCCACATGCCATAGCTATTTATCTATTGTGAATGTGACCTATCTCCTTATCTACATTTCTAAAGGGAGATAGCTTGAGTGAGACAGGTTTTACATGATGCAAGGTCCCTTGCCTAAAATCCAACTGTTCTGCACTTGTGTGGTGGCATTCATAAATCCTGTACATATAATGATTACCTATGCCTACCTCTAGGATGAGCTTATTAAGTCTTTTATGACAGGAACATGCTGGCTAAGCTGTGAGCCCAAAGAAACGCCAACACAGAAGCTTCTCCTCAGAAAGCTCCACAGTATGTGGCCTCTAGCTCAGAATCTTGGGCCAGGTACATGGGTGGCCCCGCTCCACTCCTGCCTTGCAATGCTCCTGGCGGACTAAAACAAGTTGCCAGGCCTCATTCAGAAGGGTCTGCAGAGCTGGCTCTCTTCGCTGAGAGCCCTGGGCAGGCTTTTGGAGACCAGCATCTCAGTACCTTTACAGCAGCATGCGCTGGGATAGGGGTGCTGAGGGGGCCCAGGCTCTGCTTCCCCGTGTCTGACTGGTTGCCAAGCTGCGAGCTTGAGTCATTCCTCTCATTTTCTGAGCTGGAAGTAAGGTCCTGAAAGTCAAAGATTCACAGTATTAGTATGCAGGGTCAAAACAGTGTGATACAGAGTCTCTCTCACATGTGGTGCCTTTCTTAATTCTGGTTTCGTATCCCAGTATGTCAACTACTTCCCCCAAGAGGAGACAAACATAATTTGTCAAGCAGTTGAGGACACGTCTGAGAGAGAAAGGGGCATTAGCAATAATTATTCCGGAGGACAGGTGAAAGACTGGCCTGGTGTAGGCAAACTGGGACATCTGTCACCTGTGTAAGGGTTCGATTTGTGACAAGGTCCTCCTGTTGGACTTGACAATGGGATTGAAAAGAAAGAAAGAGGGAGGAACGGATGTAGAACATGTGAGAATGAAGGACAACAAAGTCATACGAAAGGTTGTTTGCCTTGGAGGTAAAGTGTATGTTTCTGTGTATTTAGATGTGTATGTGTGTATTAGTATGTGTGCAAACACATGCACACACATATATAGGAATCTCTGCGTCTGTGCATAAATATCTGTGCCTGCAAATCACTGGGTATGCAAACATGTGTGAGGCACATGTGTGTGTACATGCATGCATATGTACCTGTAGTGTCTCTATGTGTGTGTCAGAACATGCAGGTATGTGTGAGTTTATGTGTATATGTGGTTATGTAGAGGTGTGTCTATTTGTATATGTCCATGTGGGTCTGGGTATATGTGAGTATATAAACATATATGCACATGTGTAGATCCTGGCATACGTGTATGTGTGTATGCACTGGTCTCTTGTTGGAATACACATGTGTATATTTGTAGGCACGTGTCCCGTGCCTATACATTTCTGTGTGGTATGTGTATAGATGCACGTGTAATACATGTATGTGTGTGGATCTGTGTGTGTTTGTGTGTGTGCGATGGAAAACCTTCAAGAAAAGCTCATTTCTGTTTGTAGAGGACTCTGAAAAAGGATGAGTTATCTTTCACCCTCTTCTACATCCCAGTGCTATGATTTGACTCAGAAGAGCAGGAGCTACTGATGACCTCCCCCTGGAGTTTCTAGTCCTTTCTTGACCCCTAGCACCTGTCAAAGGTCTGTAGACTCTTTCTTAGAACCTCAGAGTCCTCATTTTTCAAATGGGCCTGCTGGCTGAAACTGTTCTATTTGCCAGGCGCACTCAGTGCTTATATTTTTCCCCCTGCTCCTAGAGGTAAGCAGAACAGACCTGGTCTTTCCCTTAAACCATCCTTGAATCAGAAGCTGATTCTGTCAAAATAATGAAGACCAATGGCCTGATATACTCTTTGATGTTATCAAAGAAATTTGGCTGCAAAGACCAGCTGTGGCATGCAGGGGAAGGAGAACTGTTTTGGTTAGAGACATTTTGCACAATGATCATGCATGAATATTCCCACTCTGCTTTCTGTCCGTCCACCCCCCCTTCCCTTCCATTCTGCTTTTTGCTCTGATGGAGGTAAAAGGTAAGGCAATAACCACTGCAAGGGCCATTTTGGGAGCCAGGGCTGTGGGTAATAACTATTATAACTGTCCCTGACACCTGACTGGTGCTTCGTGGTATCAGAAATGTTTTTACATATAATATCTGATATCAGACCACCCAATAATTTCTGCGAAGCCAGAAGAGGAAACTTCCTGAGGGCCCCTCCAGAGCAGGGGTAGGGGGAAGAGACCTCAAGGCCACATGGTGCATGTCCTTCCCCGTCCTGTGTCGACACCCACACTACTCTCAGGAGTTCTGTGTACACCACTGTGTGAAGCAGAGGACACCCCCATCCTGCCTGTGTGTGGCTTCTAGAAGTGAATCTGAAGGAGTGGTGGGGGATATCTCTGTAGCCTCCATGGGACACATAGCTCTTCAGCCTCACAAGCCTGTGTTCCCTCTGTGTCAGAAACACATCAGCAATACCTACCAGGAGGGATCGGGGGCGGGGGTGGGGGAAAACGCTCGTGACAGCCTAGCTGTCCCTGGCACAGCCTGAGTGTTTAATACGTGTCAGCAACTGTTGCTAATCATCACTACAGTATTTTCAATATGCATCCCTCACGTTTGAGAGTTTGTGGACATTACAGAAAGAGGTGAATGCTGTGCTTGGGTGGGGGCTGAGGTGGCCTCGCAGTGGCTGGACAGGTAGAAGCCAGTCTGAGGTAGAATCCACGTGGATGTCCCTGCTGTTTGGCCAGTGGGCAGCCCCATCTCCCCTCCTCAGGGTAGGGGGAGACTCTGGGCTTTGAAATTAGTTCCACAGTTCCACTGTGGTCCTTTCTATCAGGGAGATTGTTGGTGAGTCAGCTATTCTCAGTGACACTCGTTGCCTTGTCTATAAAAATGGAGATAAAATGTATCTCCTTGGCAGAGCAGATGCTTAAAAATAAGCCAAAGAGAACATTCCTGGGCACTGTCATTCCATGTTTTCTGGACACCCCTGATCCTAAACACAGATCCCTGGAACCAACAGGATCTCTTCAGATATGCTACCGGAGACACCTCTGGGATCTCTAGAATCACTGGGGGTAGTGTTGGCTTTGACTGTGAAGCAATGACAGTCTGAGATGTGGTCCGGTTACCTGGATTGTCCCCAAGGGACCTGTGAGAGGGGTCTCTGTAGCTTTAGTGTCTTGGGGGGATGCTGCTGAGCCCTGTGGGTCTTCGTTTCTAGTCTGATCTGGAGAAAGCCCATCGCTGCTGTCCTCTTCAAAGGCAAATGCATCCGCTGACTTGGAGAAGCTCACCTGGTTACCTGGGGAGTGAAGTCCAGGCACTGGTCAGTGGTGTGAGCACAGCAAAGAGCTCTCGGCAGTGTGGCCATGTTTCACCCCAACAGAAGCACTTTCTGCTGCCCCACGTCAGTTTCCAGTTCACGTAAGAGTGCAGATAAATTTTAAATGATCTGGTTTCTCATACTTACTCTGTGTGTAAGTGTGTGTGTTTCTGTGTGGTGCGCTGGGCAGGAAAGGAGTGACAGATTAAATGTCTGTTGTCACTGGTTTAACTTTATTTTCAGGCTTATCCATTCTTCTGACTTTGCTAGGTGAACCCATATCTTTTTTAAAAGAGGTCAGAGAAGATGAAGGAAATAAAAGGGCTGCTGGATCCAGAATGAGGCCCAAGCAAAACACAACAGGGGAAGGCCTCATCTCCCCAGGTTTTACGACGAGGGATATAATTGAGATGACAGCTTTCCATTTGCATCGTGTCCAAATATAAAGCAGGACACATAACACACAATGTTTAGCAAACTTTGTTAATAGGAATAAGCTACGGCAGCTACTAAGTTTGAATTCCTAAATGTCAGTATTAGCTAATGTCACCAGAGTGTCCCTAAGCCTCATTCAACTAATGCATATCTGTTTATAAAAGTCATAAATGTGTCTAAGAGATTTCAGCATGCTTTTTATTTTATATTATTTGGATTTTCTTTTTATCCCTCATATCTTTGTGTCTATTTTGGAAATCCTCAATGCCTCACACAGATATTTTGCCTCAGCAGACAGCATGGTCTTTGGAGGGGACCAGATACACTAGCTGGGGGAGAGGGGTTATCAGACCAGATGGAACTGTAATGACATCCTTATATGTCCCTTGTTTTTTAATGGCCCAATTTCATCTGGTTTATTATCCAACTGCACAGTACAAAATGTGCTGAGGCCACATAGCTCTTCTGACCCGATTCCAGGCACGGCTCTCCGAAAGGAATTTAGGTATTATCAGGAAGTTTTCCAGCCCACTATTCTGCAATCACACTTGACAAGAACTTTTGCCTCCTGCTTTGTGCAGATAAGGGAAAGGAGCTTTCACCGTGGTGATTGGAAAAGCAGTGAGGAGCTGGAAGTAATGGAACAAATGTGGCTTTGGGCTTGTCATCGCTGCCACTGCTGGCATCTGTCATGGACCCTCACTCAGACATCCAGTGTCAAATCAGGAAAGAGGCCAGACAAGGACGGAGCAGTAGAAACTCCAGGTGCTGACCCATTGGGCTTCCTGCTAACCTGGAAGGGCCTGGGGACAAGCATTTCTGCTCCATGGCGTCAAGGATCATTGATGAAAAGTTGTTACTGCTTTTCTGTAATTATAAAATTCATATATACTTAAATAACCTATACCTTACAAAAATGTCCAACACTAACCCTACTTCCTGCTAATGGTTTGTTGTCTCTTTCAGATTCAGTTCTAGGCACAGAGCAAGACATACATAAACGCATTTGAAATGAATTTCATACAGATCAGACTGAGTGAAATACATTTACTTTTTTTTCTACAATATTTCTTGGAGATCTTTTCTTGGGAATACAGAGATCTTTCTCAATTAAAAAAATTTGTTAACAACTATACAGTATTCCATTGTTTATAGGAACTTTAATTTGTCAACTTTTATTTTTTTAAGACATACTTCTTAAACTATACAAATTTGAAGTAGTAAAGTACAGAGAATTATATAAAACATCTGTGCACATGTCACCCCAAATAAATAAAAGCTAGTGTTTTCTGATGTTTGTGTCAGAAACCTATTCACCTTTTAATAAGGTATTTCAGTGGAGATTTGAAAAATGTCCACTTTTCTTTGAGACCAGGGCTCATGCTATCCCCATTCAATATTCTGATCTCCTATTTGAATAGTCCAGAATTTGCCCACACCATTCCCTTCTCTCTCTTACATCAATCCCAGGCCCTAAAAACAAGCCTCTGTTTGTCATTTTTATGCAATGTGAAATAATCTGTAGATCACTGTTTTTTTTCTCAAGGAGATCATTGGCCTGTGATCTCCCCAGGTAGAAGATTCAGTAGCCTCTATGAATAAGCTTCCATTTAGAATCCAACATTTGTTTACTTTAGAAGTCATGTTTTCCTTGAAATTTCAAGACCTAACTCCATTTGTGGAATGAAAGACATTGTGTCTTTTGAAAGGACTACGTGTATTAATGAGGGTCAAGTGGACATGAGAATGGGGTGGGTGGGTAGGGGCTGAGTTTTTTCTACCCCAGAAATCTCAGCATTCCTTAGGATTTCTTTACATTTCTCAGAGAACCCTTGCAGGGTTGCCTCTTGGGGCAATGCTCTCCATCTAAGAGGTGCTGTATTCCTTTCCGGTACCCCTTCTCCTTCCGTCTCCTCCCAGACCCATAGGTTTAGTATCACATCCCAAATGTGTACCTTTTAGAGGGAATTGCCAAATTGCAAAGTTGGACACAGGCAAAAATGTTATGAGAAGAGGGGAGAGAGAATGGAATCTCATCCCCCAACAGCCTCACTTTAATTGTTTAAAGGGAGCGATAGCCAATGACAAAAGCAGTAACCTGTATAAGTAGCTCACGTAATAGCAGTAGCAGTAACAAGAAAATTCAACTTTTGCTGAGATTTATAATGGTCCAACCGGTTATTCAGGGGGTACATTTTCTCATCTCTGCTTTGTGGGCGAGGACTTTACAAGGTCCAGTCCACAGTTATTTAAGGCTTTGGGCTGAGAATGGGGGAAAGAGCAGCCTTGGGTCTCTCTCTCTCTCTTTTTTTTCCTCCACACACTAAAGACATCTCACAGAAGCAGGTGATTTGGGGGAGGGTAATTAAGGTGACTTAATTGGACCTCATCACAGAGAAGACTTGAAAGGACTGCAGTATCCATGTTGTAAACAATTGACATACCCTTTGCACTTCTCATTTGGGGACCTCAGGTTGAGGTACTAGAAAGATGTGAAAGTCTAGAAGCAGAATATCTGGAATAAAGGAGAAGGTCATCAACCCATTCTCCCCAGCACCAGATGACACATTTGTCAGCTATTTTTCTCACTGCTTTCACACAACAGAGACTAGCGAGAGCATATCAGAGAGGAAATGGAGACAGTGCGGAGAGCCAAGAGAAGAAGTGATCAATATTTCTCCAGGAGACACACAGTACCTGTCCAGGGACTAGACTGGTTAGTGAGTGCTGTTGGTGGTTAGACAAAGGGGACAACAAGGGAGAGCTGTCTAAGAGGAAGAGGAGGGGTTGAAAGAAGCCTGAAGATCAACTGAAGGAGATAGAGAGCTTTTTGATGGTAATGGGAAGAGCAGAAGGGAAATAATAGCTCCTCGGTGATTAGCAGAGATGGGGGGGGGGGGAAGGAGGGGAGACACAAATTCTCCCAGTCAGGAGAGAGGATTATTTTTGGAGCCAATCCCCAAAGATATGCACCTTCAAAGAGTTTTTACACTATCAATAAACATCAATTGTTTAAATAAATTTAAAAAGCCAAATCAATAGGCACTGGGGTTCAGGAATCTATTGGGCTTGTTCTGTTTCTTGATTCTACTTCTGAGTGGCAGTGTGACTGTTGGCAAGTTTTTCAGCTTCCTGACCTCAGTTTCCCCATCTAGAAAATGGGAATAACCATAATAGCTCCCTCCAGGATTTACAGGATAAAATAACATAAGTAGAGTAGCCTGTCCCTGATGCACACGTGTTCAATAATTTCTAGCTGTTGTTAATATTATTTGTTTAAGGCGTCACTGCTTATCTCAAGTTTGCCATTATCAAAAATAAAAAAGACCACCCAGGAGGACAATTTTATCCTGTGGTTAGTTTTGTACAAGTCAGCACAACTCAAGACCCAGGAAAATGGGTTTGTCAAGAGAGGTTCATTCTAGGAAAGCAAAGACAGATCTTCCCCAGAGCAGAAGTGTCACTGGAAAGGCTCTGTTACTCCCTGGTTCAAGCCTGGCTCATGTGGAGAAAGACAAAGGTCACCTTATCTGTCTGCCTCTAGAACAACCCAGCCTATCGGCTCTGTGTGGTGACCCTGGGCCTCTGTTCCAATCTCCCACGGCGCGAGGCTCCCTGGGAGCTGTTGGAGTGCAGTGTGCTGGCTATTGTCCCTGTAGACCCGTCAGGCGTGTGATGACAAGGACCTGCTTTGGGAAGTCCTGACATCATCCTCCGGCTATGCCCACAGGGCTGGCTCTGGGCACTGGCCCTTGGGGATCTTGGCCTGAGCTTTCCCTCTCCCTCTTGGAAGTGATTAGATGAATGAGTCAGTTGTACTTTCCTCTGAATAAACATTTAAAATTCCAAGATTAAAGCTAGATAGTTGGAGTCCTAGTTACCTTTCTGCTCTGAGCCACACCAGGGGCTGGCAGCCACTAACAGGAATGTGAAAATGGACCTTGCTTATCTACGGAGCTTGAACACTGCAGGAGAGCTATTTTAATTCATGGTCATCCTCCTGGAAGAGACCGAAGCAAAACCCATTTCCTAAGGAAGAAGATGTTCCATGGGAAAGGAGCTGGTGTTAAAATGTTGCTCTCGACTGAAGATATTTCAATACCCTAATGCCTCTGTCAGTAGCAGGTGCACCTGCTTTTATCTCTGAGCACCTGGTCTTTACTGTCTGCGTTACCTTCTCATTATATGAGCCCCTTTTCTCTCCTTGAATCCTCAGGCCCTAGCCCCACTGCCTAACTTGGAAGATATAAATCTATGTAGCTTTATGTCCATATGTCTATAATCTATAGACAGACAGCTCCTTATTTTGCCTCACTGACCTTCAAATCTACATCCAAGCAGATTTTTCCCTATGTATGTGATTAAATTTGTTCTTTTCTTCTCAATCTGTCTGATGAATTGGATTCCTTGACTAGCTCAAGAGGTGTTAGGAGGGGGAAATTTTCTCTTGGTCTTTACAGCAACAGTTAAAGTATAGTCAGCTTTGGAGGCTCATTCTGTAGGGACAGACATGACTATCTGAAGTGTAAGGACCCTCCCACTTCTCCTGCGTGGGACCTCACTCTATCATAAGCCCTGTGGCTCGTGGGGACCACTCCCCAGCTGCGGCCTCACTGGGGCACACCCCATTCACCTCTCAATTATGTGTGCAGTCACTGTAGAAGGGGCAAAATCATCCCCTTTTATAATAAATCAATAATCTACTAAGTAAATGATTTCCTGAGTTTTGTGAGCTGCTCTAGCAAAGTGAACCTGTGGAGGTTGTCCTAAGACCTCTGATTTCCAGTCAGTTGTTTAGAAGTATGAGTAACAACCTGGACTTGAAAGTGGTATTTGAAGGCCAAGAGGGGGCCATGGCAATCTCCAGTCTGTCAGAGAAGAGGTAACAATGTGGGCTTGTGACGGGCATTTGAAGCAGAGGTGGTCTTGTGGGGCTGACCCCTTATCCTGTAAGATCGGATTCTATCTTCAAGAAGACAGTATCAGAATTCAGTATAGCTGGTGTCTTTTTTTATGGGAACACCCCCACCACCCCACACATTGGAACTGGATGTTCAGAACCCTTTAGTGGTTTTCTGGAAAAGCAGGGATTCAGATGTATGATCCTGTGGGATGTGACCATGAGGCCCAAGTCTGCTCTGTGTTAGCCAAGTCAGAAATCACGTTCTTTCTTCACACGATGTCATCTGATGACTTCTAATTTATACAGCTGGAATCTGTAAAATCCTTCCTGACTCAGAAAATATATAACCTTGCAGGGTGGAAGTGGATTGTTAATTCCCCAAGGAAATGAAAGTATGTGGGGTAGGGAAGACTTGCTGGGGTCATTCTGCTGACTGCAAGAAGACTGACATCTGGGAATGAAGAAAAATACCAAGGTGGGGGCAATTCTCTGTCAAAAATACCCTGTGTGGGGAGAGAGGTTCTAGATTATTCTGTCAGAGTTGGAGAAGAACTGGTCTCTAATAAAACTTGGAGAGGGAAAACCATGATGGAGTATTCTGCTCAGAGCTTAGCACAAACAGAAACACAGCTGCAGAGAAAACTGCAAAATGTAAACACATCTGGAAAGGCACGTGGGGAGAGATGGAGAAAGCACAGACATGAAGAAAAGGAGCCACAGTAAGTCACAGCCCTGAGTAAACCACAACCACTTCCCCAAGGGAAGACGATCTCAGTAAGTGACAGAAGGGCTGGCTAGATCCACATCACACTGGAAGGCTTAAAGCACTCTCGGCTTCTGGTCTCTGAGCAACCCCCTGTGTATCTGTGACATTTCACGTGAGGCCTTTATCTTGTCCATAAACACTCTCAAGCCCATTAACAGATGACGGTTAGAGTCTGATGTGTGGTTGGTAACACCACCCTATGACTGATACCTGCTGCTCAACTTCGTTGAGTAGATCATTTAATACCCCCTGCCTCTTTCTTTTGCCAAATCTCTATTTTTCACAGATTTCCTGCCTCTACCTTAAATATTATGGCTAAACAGCCTCAGGGTAGTCTTCTTCATTGCTGTTGTTTTTTCGTTGTTGTTGTTTTGTTTTTTAATATCCTCTGCTTCCCCCAGTTACTCTTTACTGGACATTGCTGATTCCTTGTATGCTATACTACTTCTATTTTTACAGTACTTATAACCTTTATAACCTTTCATTATGATATGCAATTATTTATTGTGCTTTTGTCTGTCTCCCAACTAGAATATAAGCTCTATTAAAGCAAAACACTTAGTTTTGTTCACTGAGCGATCACAAGCATTTAGAATAGTATCTGATGCCTAGGAGATACTCCAGAATTGAATAAGGTATGAAATTTATCTAGTTCAATAGTTTAGTGTGCAGCTACACTAAAGTTTCAACTCTGTTACTTTAGAGCAACATTCTTTTCTGAATTCCAGTTCAATAGAACATTCACTGCTTACTCAATCCCTGTCCTTGGATTTCCTGTGGGTCTTTTACATGCAATAGTTGGAAACAAAAAATGATCACCTCTACTCAATTCTGTTCTTCACTCACGGTCATTGTCTAATGAACAGCTTCCTGTTCCCTAGTTGCTCAGGAAAGACCTAGCTATCATCTTAGGCCCCTCCCTTTGTTCCCATGGACATCTATTTCGCTAATCAGCTAATCATACCAAGTCAACTACCTCTCATAGACTCATTTTTTCATACTCTCAGCCATGACACTTTGTCAAACTTTCATCCAACAAGTCTATCAGCCCCCTGATGGAGTCCTTTGATTTCTTTCGGTTTCCCTTGAGTCCACCTCACATGGCAACGAGAGGGATTTTTCCACTAGTAAAATCTTCACCACGCTCCCTCACAAACATAGCGCTGGCTCCCAAAGGTGCTCCACTGCTATTACTATTATTACTATACCACTGTTATTAAGTCTGTTATTCCTTGTTGGAGAATTAGAAAAGTGCTTAAGTTCCTTAAGTGATGAGAGAAGTTCAAATTTCTTTACTGCTTTAAAGACACCATTGAACATGCCTTTATTAATCTGACCTTGCTTTTATCTACTCCTCTCATAGGAATTATTGCTCAAGAAAAATAAGCATGTCCTCCGTGTTTCTTTTCTGGCAAAAGTGTAATGTTTGGGAGGTTAGAAATGGGACTATTTACATATTGTCAGTGTCTAAATTATTTACACAATTTTTAAAATTAAATCCACCTTTAAAAAAGGCCTACTAGAGAGCTACAAGTTAGCAATAATTGATGTGACCTGGCCTTAAAAAAACCTTGAAAATAGAAGAAGACTTGAATAGGTAGAGATACTATACTTCTGTCTCAGAAGAATTAATGTGCTATGAATGTGTGAATTTACCATAAATTAAATTATGAATTAACTGCCACACAAACAAAACTCCAACAGTATTGACACTAACATATAATGATTCTAAATTTTACCCTCCATATACTTGTGAAAATAGCTAAGAAACATTAGAAAAATCAGACCAATGAAAGAACTAAGATAGGTACTAGATAGATACACAGATACTAAGATAAATTGTAATAGACATCAATACAATTGTGGAAAAAGCAAAATAAGGCCTGTCTCTTAAACCATGCACTCCAATAATTCTTAATGTACTAAGTATTGAAATATGAAAATATAGTATTTTTGTTAAAGTATCATTATAATAGTGTAATATAATGTTGGAAAACAGTTTAGGTGAGTTGCTCTGTAGGAAGTGTTCTCAATAAATAACAAATTGAGAAACCACAAAGTAAAAGATTAATAGGTTTAACCATACAGAAATGAAAAACCACAATATGTTAAAACACTGTACACCAAATCAAAAGGCAAGCTGGTAAAAGGATGTGCAAACCCTAGGCCAGACCCAGAGTTATTCTTTACCTCGAGTAAATAGCTTTTACAATGATGCAGGGGAGAAAATGTCCAGCAGGAAAAAAGAGAAGCAGTCATGAATTTTAAAGGACACATAACCACATGAAAAAAATATATAATCTCACTAGAAGTTCAAGAATGCAAATTGAAGCAAGATCTTTTGCCTAGCATATAAGAATCAATTATGATTCCATGAACTTGCATGCATGGAAATGTCTACGGAATCTTGCAGCTGTTCTAAGACACGAAAGCAATGCCCACTGGAGGTGTCCCTGGCCTCGATGGTACCAGAGTAAAGACGGAGCTAGTGTCCTGCTGAGAGGCCTAGGCCAAGTTCAAGGGCATGGCACTGAGTGTGCAGGGAGAGAGCAAAAAAGAGGAAGGGTCATGAAGGATCATTCAGGAAGTGCTGATGGGGAGCACATTGACGCTTTCTCAGTTGCTATTTTCATATTTTCAGGTTCCAAAGACAAAATTCATGGGAACTACAAAGAGCATGTGAGACCAAGATTTTAGAATATGGATAATAAGTTTGATTATTTTAATAATGTGCATAATGCCTTTTTACATACTTTTTGACAATGTGCCACACTTTACATATAAATTACTTATTACTGATCTATAATTCTGCTTGAGGGCAGAATTGGCAGAAAGCAAGTGAGCCTTCGGGCATATTACCTTTTCCACTCTTCCTTCTGCCATAGTCTTCCCAGTCAACTCAATATACTCAGCTATTTGGATCCATTTGGATCTATCAATTGTTCAAAAAACATACAAACTGAGTTTATGAAGTTTATGTGAGAATTGATCCTTATGTCTCTTTTTAAGTATTTGTATTTCAGACATGTAGAACACACAAGTGTTGTCAAAAGGTTTACTGCCAAGGGTTTGTGAGTTGGGTTTGGTGGCTTTTGGTATCTCTATTTTGGAGAGGGGTTGTGACAGGGGAAAGCTCGAGTGTAGAGTGGCCACTGGGCTGAGAATTCAGGTCTTTTCACTTAGGTCAGTGCTCTTCTCATACTTCCAGTCCATTCTCTTCCAAAAGAGAAGGGCTAGAAAGGACCATTAGTCTACATGATGAGACCTTCCAGGGGAGATGTTTGAAGGATTCGATCAAGTCAGGGCCTCAACATGTTTTCCTAAAGCAACATTGGCCATTTTAAGCTGACCTTACGGGGTGGGGTGGAGTACCTTCCTTGCTTTCAAGACCTCTGGTTATGGGGACATTCCTGGGACATCAATCCACACACCACTCTCGTCTAGCAAAAGGTCCACATGTTGAGGTACCCTAGCATAGTTCAGATGAAAATGCACACAGTAAACACCCATTTGTTCTACCTTTTATGGCTTCTTTTACAGCAGAATCAACAGGGAGTATGTTCTTCTCCACCAGCTCCAGTGGTCCTGGCCGGAGAGCAATTTTTTCATTGAGGTCATCTGCGAGTCGAGCTCTTTTCAGCTTCATCTGAGCAGTTGGAATGGACCTCTCTGCAGTGGAGGCTAAGAGGTTGAAATGAAATGGACCAGTTCTAGAATTCGATGTGATTCTGTTTTTTATTTTTTATTTTTTTTATTTTTGCTTTTGTAACCAAAACATTGTGTCACATTGTGCTCTACCATCCTAATAATTTTTCTGGGCATTCATCATCATTTCATGTGGATTAGCAGCAAAGACTAGACGCTTCCATATAAAGGCAAATAGAAAGTCAGGCGCACAGAAAAGCTAAGGACATTTGCCCGGTGAGGATTTTTGAAATAATGTGCAATTTGGTGATCCTGCAAGCAAAGCAGTCCAGTGGGCTATGTGGCCTGCTTACCCTAAGCTACAGCTTGCGATGTGGATCCTGCCTGCATATTGCCTGGCATCGGCTAACCCTACAGTAGGTAGTATCTCTATAATTATATATTATGACTTCATAAGACTTGCTGAGATTGTGATACTGATTCAAATGTCCAGGTCAGGTATAAAAGAATAAAAATAGATCAAAAGAGTTACTTAAACGAATGGGGCTTTAAAAATTCAGGCAGTTTCTTATCATTTAGAGGGTGAGAAAGGTCACTTACAGAGCTCTAAATCATCTCTAATGGTCCTTTTTCCCTTAGGCCTTGACTTGGAGGAGAAGTTGGTCAACTAGTCATTGCTAAAAAGCAGAGTCATGCCTTTAGATTCTATATGTGTGTACAGCTTCACTCTTAACTTTGCAAATGTTAAGAGTGTTACAAGGCTCTCAGTCCCACTGTTCCATTATTATCAACCCAGATCTTATATCTGATCTAGAAATTTCCACATAGGACAGGTTTAGGGATATCTAATTGCCACAGTAGGTAATACTTGTTCTGAAGCTGGGTCTGTGGAGCATTTGATGAGGCCAGAAAACATCAACATTGCACAGGCTCTTCTGATCATTTCTGCACACCAGCACAGGGTTCATTTCAGAAAACACTTCCTCTGCATTCCCCAGCAGGAAGCTCCTCTCTATGCAACTGCACCGCACCCGCCACCAAAGCTCCCATAATCCTCCACCACAGCCCACTGGGCCTCTGCCCCCTTTGCTCCCCACTCCTCTCTTTGGCCCTCTTGTACCCTCAAGACATAGTCAGATTTCTGGGGTTTGTTTTGGTTTAATCTATTCCTTGGTTTTATTTCTACATATCTCATATGAGTGAAATCATCTTGTGTTTGTTTCTCCTACTGATATATCTCACTTAGCATAGCATAATCCATCCTAGTTCCATCCATGTTGCTGTAAATAGCAGTATTCCATCTTCTTTTTAAAAATAGAGCTGAGCTGCATTTTACTGTGGATGTATGTCACACCATCTTCTTAATCTACTCACCTATCAGTTTTCTTTGAAAGCCTATTTCTAGTTACTGTGAGTTGTTCAGTCATATGGATGGTTCGTAATTTATTCAACCAACCCCTTAGTGTTGGACAGTTCACTGTTTTCAATGTTTCATTACTTAAATTAATTTCACAAGACATCATTGTGCATAAATTCTTATATATTAAATTTCTTTGGATAAAATACTAGAAATTTACTACGAATTAAAAGATGGACATAATTTTAAGGGATCTGATATATGCTGGACATTGCCTACATGATCATAGAGAGTAAGAAAGTGGTGCAGCTAAGACTGGAACCCAAGTCTGATACCTTCTTAAGCCTATTACACAGCTCCCTAATTTTTGTCTACCTGGCCCAGAAGGTCTGAATGATAGCTGAAATTACCATCTTTTTAAAAGCAGGGAACACATTTTAGAGAACTTGCAAACTGTACAGAGACAAAGAACTCCAGACAGGCACCCCCAGGTTTATGACTTCATGCAGCCTTACCTTGAAGTATGTGCATATTAACCGAGTCAGCACGGTTGGATCTGTTTCTGACCTTACGCTTCAGGTTGTCTTCAGCCTGTAGACACGGCCATAGGAAAAACCCTGCTATCAGTGTCATGCAGTGAATCACCTAGTTTAATCTTAAAGAAACCCCAGTTTTTTTCAAAGGGATATTCTTTTTTCAACAAAGTGAACATGCAAATATCCCTTCTCATCTTCTTTATGATGATGAAGCATTTCCAGAAACCTCTCTGGTAACCCAGGATAGAAAAATAAGATAAAGAGGTAAAGAACTTAGGTCCACTTCAGAACTACAGGCTCAATTTCCTTCAAGGGTCAGGCAGGTACATTAAATATACAGGTATATTAAGTCAAATATAAATGAAACTGATGATACTATAAGTGACAGTCAGTCCCATTCTATTGCATCTTAAAACAGTCACAAAATTAACTGGGATCAGAAATGAAATGTAACCTCAGTCTGCTTAGTATGCCACAATAACATGTCCACCTCGCTTTTTTTTTCACTTGACTTTTATCTTACGATATGTGAAATGTGAAGTCTGCTGACCAGACCGACTACAAGCTTGGAAGACACTTAGAGAGATTTTTCCACTTAGAGAGATTTTTGACTGAACTGATGATCGTGCTACCAGTAGGGATGTTATGGGCTGTGGCAGGGCCACAACCAAACCTCAGGTCCTAAGCTTTAAACTCACTACCTTGGATCTACTGTTTGGGGCTTGAGAGGGTTCTGCATATCACTTCAGTTTGATAAAGGGCAGTTAATTCTCCAGGTAATAAGAACCACAGCCTCTCAAGAGCAACTCTGAAGAGTTGCAGGGAGGGGCTCTTTTCTCTACCCACAAACTAGGCTCATGGGTAGCGTCCTCCGGCAAAGAAATCCCAAGAGAAAGACACCCCCTGTGGCTTTCCTACAGACTGCAGTGCCAGCGCTTCCTAACTAGCATTTATATTAGTGATGAATGTAGGTGGCAGAGATTTGCTATGATGGTATAGGACATAAACTAACGTCCCCTCCTCCACAATGCTGAATAAGCTAGGAGCGGAAATAGAGTAAATTCCGGTTGCCTTCAAATAACTAACTGCAAGTAAAACAAATAAATTTGAAATTCATATACTCTGCCTGATCATTGAATTGAGTTTTTAAAATACTATTTTATTTTCCTAAGGAAAGGCTATGAAAAGTGGGGCAACTTGCAGACCAGCCTTACTCCCATTTTACATCTCTTTGATCTCTACTGTATCCTTGAGTTTCCAAACCACCACCCAACATTAGATAGACTGGGAACATATTTTTTTAAAACAAAAAAAGAACAGCTTTAAGGTTAAGATATTTAAGATATTTGATCTCATCTCCATGGTTTCGGTTCATAAGGGTAAGATTTTACATAGTATGGAGGTAGGATACAAGCAAATTGGTTGAGTTTGTCATAAATATGAGTAACCGATATCTTCAATAATAAAAAATTAAAATAATAAAATATTTTTTTACTTCCTTGACAACTTTCAAAAATAAAACTTAAAAAATAATTCTACTACTTTAAACCAAAGTCTCGCATTGAGAGTAAGATCAGGAACGGCAGTTTGAAAAAAAAAAAAAAATTACCTTGTCACCCTCCAAATGTCTTCTTTGTTCATGGAATTCAGTTGGACTTTTCAGTGCTGAAACAGAAAGATGAAGACATGAACAGAAGTGGGCTTGGGGGGCCCGGCCAGCATCACAGTATTTGCGGGTGTGCTTGCTGAGCTGTGCACAGTATGTATGTGATCACCTTAATTAGGCTACAAGCAATTGAAGAGGAGAGGCCTAGAGGACACCAGCTTCCCTGAAGCCATACGAAACAGAGGGAGAAGGAACTTAGGACTAAAACAAGAGCAGTAGACGCAGAATACGTGGCAGGAAGAGAAGTAGCAGAGATGGCATTCCAACTCCTGAAGAAATGCAGGGGCCCGCAGAAAGTGGGGACACACACAAGGCTCTACTTTGAAGGAGACAGTAGATTGGGGTACAAAGTCATCCCCTGTGACTTTGCTCTACCTTGAGTGCAGAAGTCTGGGTGGAGCTGTGGTCTGCGGGGCAAGGAGTGTCTGATTTGCAGGAAGGGACTTGTGCTTTGTCATGGCCCATCAGGGACAGCCAGCACCAAGGGTGCTGAGTGAGAAGCACAGAATGAGACCCTGAGAGCAGGAAGGGGCCTTGGAGACAGTGAAATACGATTCCAACCCTGAACAAAATGGGGTTCATTTGCCCAGGGTCACAGTTAGGGCTGGGGTACTAGGTCCTTTGACAACCTAACTCCTTTCAAGATGTGACATTGAAAACATTAACAACCAGTAGACCCAGGCACTGGCCTGAGCACACAGCAGCAATGAACAACCTGGACGGGAGTGCCAGCCTCCACTCTTCCCACTAGCCTCTGCTCTTCACAGCACCTCTTCATGGCAATTTAGGACTCAGCAAAGAATAAACCATCCATTCAGTAAAATTCAAATTTTCTTTTCAGTTTTCCAGGTCCCTGAAAAATCTCAATCAAGATTCACAAATTGCATCTGCTACCTGTTGTACTTGCTGCCTCTGTGGGTGACTGAAATAAATTGGCATATTACAACAGTACTCAAAACAAATAATCACTTTTCATTATAAGTGGTGAGGTTGATTAGAGGTTGCAGAGTTGCATGGCCTAATTTTCTGAACTGTGAATCTGGATAGGTCAATGAATTGGGGGATGCAGAATTCTAATGTTACTCTTAAGAAACAGACAGTAACCTAGATATCTATATGTTGGTTGGCATTAAAATTGGGTCCCTGGCCAGATGGTACTTGGGATTGTGTAAGTGTACATGTGTGTACATATGTATACATGTATGCCTCATCTGGCCTTAACAACCTTGTTCTATTTAAGCACAGGTTCCAGATGGGCTTGCTGGGGATCAAGCTGACTCTGGTGTAGTTGCTTGAATATCACCTCTCCATTGCTCTTAATAGCAGCTTCTCTTTGCCACTTTTCATCCCTAACATAGGCTATCTGCAGAACCTGCCACTTCAAACGTCCTGCTCCCTCCATTTCCAACACTCAGTAGCTCTGATAAATCATCAGAGAAATGTGTGGGTTAAGGCCCTGCTCCTGCCTTGCATTTCCTCTGACTTGGGTGGGTGTGGTCACCATCCTTGGTAAGGAGGCCTGGCTTTTGCTGCATTTGATCACAGTTACAATTTATACTGACAGAGTCCTGAAGAGCAACTCTGGTTTCCCTGGCTAACCAGATCCCACAGAGTCTCCCTGGTCTCTAGTGAGCCCTGGTGAATCTGTACAATCTGTTCTGATAGGTCTTCACCTCTATCTTCCTGTCTCGTGTTCACTGGGTGATATATAGTGGTGTGGCTTAATCATTTCCATAATCCAGAGAAGGAATTGATCTTAGTGAGACCTAACTGAGTGGTTAAGAACAAATCGTTTTCCTCAAGAAGCAGCCCTAAGGGAACAGTTTGGACCTATCTTGAAATATCACTTACATTCCACATGCAATTGGTTTTAATTGGGCTTATGACTTTGGAGGAATTTATCTGGTGCTCTTGTCCCTGAGGCGCTTCAATTCTAAGAAACACTGCATTTCCGGTACCTTAGTTTGTAGGACTTTGAGTTATCATTTCTTGGTGTGAATAACTTCCCCATAAAATGATCCATGTGGCCTAGTCTTCCAATGCCAGGAGCACACATATACCTTCTATCACAGAGATGCTATGTCCATTTAGAAAGCCAAGAGGGGTATGAGCTGTATTCTACCACACAGGATCCTCCTTGGGCTTAGGAATGTTATATGGGACCTTGGCTCGAGGTCACACTGTGGAAAATTATTCTGCCACGGCCCTGTGGTTGACATTTGCCTTTTCCATGACTCCAGAGAATGTGGGTTTTAGCAACCTCCCCTGAGGGTCAGCAAAAGCCATAAGGCACAGCCTTCCTCCACAGCCCCCTCAAGTTGACTTGTTGGGAAATTCATAAAGGCCCTCTTTTGCTGCCAGCCAGGGAGTATCAAATGGCAGAAGACTGTATTTAAGGGACACTGACATTTAAGATGGAAAACGATTTTGGACTTCTAAGTTGAAAATAAATAAATGTGATTTCAAATTAAAATATGATTATAAATGCAGTCGGCCACACATCTAACTCATTCCCCCTGGAGGAAGATGAATCGTTTCTCATCAGGGAACTCATGTTCTCGCCTCAGAGTTTAGTTACAGGCGATTCCTATTTCTGTCCCCGCAGTGCCAGCTAATTTGGGTCAGCTATGTGTATAAACATTTGCTTACTTAGAGCTCAGAAAGAGATGTCAAGATAAGGGCAGGCCTCCTGCAGGCCTCTTGCACTCCACTTTACTCTGCGCCTCCACTGGGAGCCCAGAAAAAGGAAAAATCAGTTCAGGAGAGGGGCTTGACACGGTTTGGTATTAGGGGGCAGAGACGCAGCTGTGCCTGCGAACAGCCTCACATCTCCCCCAGGGTCCCTCACAGTCAGGCTTGGGAGACCGACCAGCACCTTTAAGATTATGGGTAAGGACTGAATTAAAGAAGCAGATACTTGGGGGAGCAACTGGAGCAGGGGTTCTCAAAGTGCAGCCCCCACAGTAACATCTTTAGCGCCACCTGCAAACTTGTCAGAATTGTCAGGTCTCAGGCCCACTTCAGACCAACACCTTCCCAGATGCTGGCAGTGGGGCCCACGGATTTGTGTTTGAACAAGCTCTAGCTGACTGGATACATACGTTTGAGAACCACTGCTCCGGAGTTTAGAGGGCCAGTGGTCCTGATCTAGGGTTCTTGGGAGTCTAAGAGATGATAAATGGGGCACGTGGATGCTTGGGGTTGATTTTCGGGATTTCAGAAAGCTGAAGGAGATGTCTGCCCAACAGAGCTGTCACTTTTCATTGCTGCTGCCTGGAATCATGACAATGTGGTTCGGTTATGGTTCTCATCACAAAAGTGCTGGTTTGCAAGTTTATATGCTATTCGTGAATCAAAACAGACAAATGGACTTATAATTCATAGATGTA